AACCCTGTTGTGTTTCGACACCTGAAGCCCTGGTTTGGACAATGTTCGCACGCCAGTGGCCGGTCGTCAACCTCGCCGCCTGACACCAACGATTGGTTTGGGAGCAACTACGACAACAAAATATTCATATCGTATACAACGAGAGCGTATATACTAGTTCTCTTTTAGCAAGATACCAGGCTGGCTGACGACAGCAACAGCAACAGTGACATCGAACAGTTCTACGTACTGATGATGGGCGTGTTCAGCCTTACATTCAGTTTTCCTTACGTCCCTTCCCCCACCCCTAGGTGCTCGCACGCCGTCGCCCACTCCCTCCCTGCCGGCCTACTCTTCGCTTCGCTGGGATTCCTACCAACTTCAGATATCGAGATCACGTCAGGTGCGAACGTGAAGAAAACCTTCCACCTTCACAGCAGGCGATGGTTCCGATATTTGACCTGTTCTGTCTTCGCTCTGTTTGCCTACGTTCGGTGTCTTGGCCCATTTCGAGAAAAAGAGTGCCGGTGCTTTCTTGCGTGCGGCGGCGGGATCCATGGCCAACTGCTTCCGTTGACGACGCATTTCACACGCAACCCGTGCACGTGATGATGCGGTACGTTTTGATGGTACTGTACATCGAGCGTATCTCTTTTCCTGGACGCCTAAAGTTCCTGAACGCCACCACCACCCCCCGCGCTCCTTTTCGTTTCGAAACTCGACGAAACAAACGAAATAGAGGAAACGCAGACTGAAGACGATGACGACGACGGACCATCGTCTTTCATTGATCATGGCTGTTTCGCCGACACCAGGACCGGGCGTATCATGGAGTGGATGTCTCTAAGTGACGAGCAGAAACACGCGATGACGGGCGAGGTACGTGCAATTTCACTTTTGCTTGCGATCTTGCTTGGATGCATACATACACGGCACGTAGACAATAATTCTCAAAGATCATTACGAAGGGGCCTCGGTACGCTTGGTGTGCTGATAGGAAACGAGCAGCCGCTATAGAGAGAGACATGGACAGATGTTTTCACAGATAGTGGGACTGAATCGGCACCATCTTAGACTTCGACGGAGCCACGACTGATTGTGCTAATCTGTGCCTACCCGATTCGTGACGTGGTAATATATGTGGACGCTGTTCAACCCAGGAACGAAAGGAGGTGGCGTCCCAGGGCAAAAGTGTTGAGCTGATCATTTTGTTCAAGGAGTCGTCCTCCATCGCATATGCCTCCGAAGCGGTACCCCACGTTTGCTCCCGAAACGGCAGCCCACCTTTGGAGATATTTAGGTTTAGTCCCCCTCACACGTGAGTTCCGCATACAAAACCCTGCCACAGCTCTGCTATGCAAGCATAGCGGTTTCTGACCACTTCCACTCACAACCATAGGGGCTTCCGCCCACCCCTCTTTCAAAAATGCCCCCTCTGCTGCTCCGCCATGTCTACCGCCCTACACCCCTGACCCCATTTCATTCATGCAGATGTGCATTATCGAGGGGGGGTACAGGTACTCCGGGACTCAATATGGCTACCAATGTTTCTGCGGGGGTGAGGACACAGACCACCTCAAGCATCGCGAGTCCGTGGACTGCGATTTCACGTGCGCGGGAGATGAAAACAAATATGCGGCAGGCCGTGGTGCATGTCCGTGCGTGAAATGCTGTGAAGCTGAAAGTGCGGCGGGCTTTGGATGGTTGGGTGCGTGAGGGCTGGTGCTTTTGTACGATACGGATGTGCCTCGTCACACGCAAGCAAAAGGAAGAGTCGATTCCGCCGAATACGGGCAAGCTTGTTGGGCAGGCTGCTTGGTCGGGGGTTAGGACCGACCGTATTTCCATGTGGTAGTTCTGGCGAGGGGAAGCGTCCGCTCTTCGAGGTCCGAACTTCGTAGGCGGCAACCTGGTTCACGTCAATCAAATCGGTGACATGGGCTGAGAAGGGTCGGTCTTCTCCCGTCTTGTCGCTGTCGGTTATTTGCAACAAACACAAGGTATTGAGGAGCGTAAATGGACGGAGGGGGTGCAAGAACCGGTTAGCAGTGTACCGTGCACTATATAGGGAAGTGGGAAGTTTTTAGATGTTCGGTAAACGAACGGTGTTGATGGTTTGTATGATACACCAAACGATCGGCCGTGGCGGCGGGCACACGGGCTCTACTAGGTGCCATACCTAGTCTTTTTTTGGCTGTGTACGGTGCCTACGTTTAATTGGGAGACCCTTTCCGGAACTTGTTGGGATTCTCAGCTGTTTTGGTTCTACAATACATGGACTGCTTGCTTCTACTGCTTTCTCCCAGGATAGGAAGAAGGTTGGAAAGGGTTTGGTTGATAGGCCGGTTTTATCCAAGTAATGCAAACGAAGAGCGAGGGTTTGAGTTTGTTGTTGCAATACATACAGTAGTGTCGTTGTTGCGGTTAAGCCAGAGATCACCTGACCTGTGTATTGTGCACGTACGTGTCATTACCGGAACGGTGCGGCGGGCACGCGGGCTCTACTAGGTACGTAGTCTTTTTTTAGCTGTGAATAGTGCCTACGCTAAGTGGGAGGCCCTTCGGGACTTGTTGGTATTCCCAGCTGTTCTTGTTCTACAGTTCATGGATCGTTTGCTGTCTACTGCATTTCTCCCAGGATAGGAAGACGTTTTGAAGGGTTCGGTTTGTAGGCCTGTGTTTCACCCGTCTATTCTGATGAGTATTGGTGTGTATGGTTTGTATTTTATACCACGCGACAAACGACCGACCATGGCGGCTGGCACGCGGGGTCTAATACGTACCGTGGTGCGGTTTTGGCTGTGAACAGTGCCTACGCTAATTGGGAGGCCTTTCTGGAGCTCGTTGATGTTCCCAACTGCCGTCGTTCTACAGTTCACGAATCGCTTAGTCTACTTCTCCCAGAATAGGAAGGAGTTTGTAAAGGGTTGGGTTTAAGGTCGCCTCATCCAAGTCACGATAACCGTTGAACGAGAGCGAGAGTTCGACGTTTGTTATTGCAATACATACAGAAATGGCGTTGTCACACCCAGAGATCTTCTCTCCTGTAGATTGTATATTTGGACGTACGTATCGTCACCGGACGTACGTACCCCCGAGAGACGGATGCACAGTCTGTAGTACTCCTCACATGATGGAAGCTCAAGTCTTGACGTGATGTTTTCAGAACGTAAAGAAAACCTTTCTTGTTCATCTTTGATTAACTGAGTTACATTTGATGGCGCTCTCCTCGGCATTTGATCGGATGGTGGGTTGTAATTTCTTACATTCGAATCGAATGCATCACTCGTGGAAACCACTGCAATCTAGGCGCTTGAGGGAGCCGCCAGGCCGAAAACTAGAACAGGGTTGCATCGTTGATGTTGTTGTGTTGTCTGCATGGCGCTACCATGCAATGACACACGTAAAACGACAAACCTAAGCTTAAGACTATGAACGACTCGGATTGATCCTGTTTCTTGTGCCGTCTGGGGTAAGACACAGTCTACAGACGGTAAATAATAAATAAATGTAGTCAGTCATCATTGGTCACTGCGCGATGGTCTCGACTACTGTATGTACGTAATACCGAACGTCCCGCACGCCGTCATCACACCGGCAACAGAAATGGCAAACCACGCCCACACCCGCTTGTCTCAAATTTAGTTGTTTGTTGGTATCTATCTATGTGCTATGTGTTCGTAGACTCTGGTTCTTCATGAGATGACTCGTTCGTGCGGGCACATTAATTAATAGAACCAGGCTATGCCTATCTCAAGTTAAGAGATAAATCCTCTTCAACGATAGCCAATGAAGTTTTACGGAAAAATTGAGCGGATGTCTCGCCTACACTGTCATATGATAGGGAGATGCTCATGATGGAGGACATAATATGCCTACTACGTACAAATCCGACTTTTTTTGTGGTTATGTTCTTTTTTCTCTCTGTCTGGTGGAACAACAGCGTTGGTTTTTGTCACACTTTTTGCATGGCACTCAGAGAACGCGTCGGTACATTACCCGATACGTGTGGGGCTCGCGAGACATCGGTGGTGAGCGTGATGGTCACTAAAAAGTCGCTGGGACTGGCTCTATTTCAGGGGCTTCGAATCAGAACCAAAGAAGCCTTCCGATTACTTCAAGTACGTATCCATGAAAAAACTGAACAGGACACTTTGTAGCGAGCGAGGTGTTTTCCTCTTTGATTCCTGCACGCACACAAAAGTCCCACAGACCATGGGCAACACGAATACATAAGAGCGAGTGACCAAACGCAGCGGATTACAGCAGTAGGACACCTACAGCAAGACGTCATCACTAGCCTTAAAGCACACACTCACCCACGCACACGCGAAAAGTCGCAGAATTCCAGGCAGATTCTGCAGGTTGTTGGTATGGTATTTGGAGGTAGACATGTGATCGATCGTGGTTGATCATGGTTTATTTGGCGCCGTCGGATACTAGGACGTGACGTCATGCTAGATCAGGGCTTTATGCCGAGACATGTGCCCTTCTGTTCAGTGTGTGCGTACGGACGATCGATCCCTGATCGTGTGTGCGTGGGATATTGTGAATTGGTTTGGAAAGCGTTAATCAAGAGAAAGAGAACAACGGAAAGCAACAACAACAACCTGCTACAGTGGTCGGACAAGAGAGCCACACAGCACAAAGGTGATTGATTCTGAAGGAAGGGGTCAAATACCATTACATTGTACGTAAAACCGGCACTCACTACGAACGTCGTGACGTTTGAGATGCAACGATGCGACCGCGATGACATTGGCCATGTATTTTTCTTCGCCCGCGGGAGGCAAGTCACCTAACTCCCGAAGGGGAGTCTTGTATAAATATGTAAATAAATCTCGTGTTAAACACTGCGTGCGTCGGCGCCTTGTTGTGCCCGCTTGGCACATACCGTATCTACCACAAGTGAAAGAACGAAAGCAACCAGCAGCCATGAAATTAACCCCAAGAAAAGATGTGGCAGATTCTGAAGAGGAGCTCGATCATTCTGAAGTAGAAACGGGCTACTCCTCGGGGGCAGCCGTAGTGCGTCCGCCATTCATTGAACTCTGGGGTAGCCGTAAACTACGGAGTTTCCCCCCCGGGGAGGGGATCGTTTTTTTTTCTGTAACCACCCCCCAGGGGGGAAACTGAAGGTCCGCGGGGGGTTAGTTTTTTTTTTCCAACGCTAACCCGGGGGGAAGCCCCCCCCCGGGGGGTTGTGCAAAATAATGATGGTCCACACACCACACTGTTAAGGAGTGAGTGTGGCTGCTAGCTTGAATAGGGTACATCTTATTTGTTGATAGGATGTGGGTCGGTCTCAGGAGGTATACCCTTCAGACACCTACCCTATTAGAGTTTGTCTAGTCTGCGTACCCCCCTGAGGTGAAGTTGGATCCCCACTTCACCTCGGACCCTTGTTGATCGTCTCTCAGCAATAACAAGCAACTTTCCCATCTCAACGTGGTCGTGGACAAGCGTGTCAACGACAGAACCTACCTTCATCTATCTCTAGGAGCAAGCTACCGCCCACGGCTTCACCTCCTTTAAAACACACACACAGAGTGGCGAAACTGAGATGGATAAGGTTAACGAGCAAGCGTTCAGCAAGCAGAGGGAGGAAGCAGAGGGAGGAGGAACGTAAGAACAACGAAGAAGGCGAAGAGAAAAAAGACAGCAAGAGGTACCATTGCCTAAGCTCATGCACAAGAATTCGCAGTTTGTCCGCAGGAATAAGCTATTTTTGTGGTTCGTTCGGTTCTACCTTGAGTTAGTTGTGAGATCCAAAAATGAATCCGATTTTTTTTTCCCTTTGTGCGCAAGATTTCGTCAGCATGCTTGCTTATGGTACGTTTCAGCCGACTCCAGGGCTGGGGTGATATATGCAAGAAATTGACAAGAAAACGAAAGAATTTCACCCACAAAACAACGGCGAGGGCCAAGTGACAAACGGTACACCTAAATCTCGCTCGAAGCCCACATCTGCAAATGAATTTTCCGTCCCATATCATGCTTTTTGTGCTCCGCAAGTAAGTCAACAAAATCGACTCGGAAAATAAGAGAAATACATCCCCCCCGGGGGGAACTCGTGAGAAAACTGGTACCCCGGGGGGAAATTGAAATACCCGGGGGGGCTTTTTTTTTTTGTCGAAAACGATCTACCCCGGGGCAAAATCAACGAAACTATGCTTCCAGACCGAAGAGAGGTAATGGGGGGGGGGGGGACTCTACTAGGGGGGGGAAACTCCCTGGTTTACGGGATTTGGTAGTTGTTAACTCCAGAATGTCCTCCAGCAAGAAGTGCGGCATGCACAACGCCCTGTTTGTGAGGTCAAGCTAGCATGGATGAGCGAATACGGGTCGAGGAAAGCAAAGTAGTCTAGACGTGCACAAGAGGGAATGCATGTAACAGTGGTAGGAGATAATTCAAGGTCGGGACTGGTGCGCACACAGCTAACTGGGTCGCAAACACGGTTCATCTCGTCGTTGTCGCCATGCGGGTCGACCACACCCACCAAACCCATGGAGTCAGCCTCCACAGATCCTGTATTGGTGCGTCGTGAAGTCTGGCGAGGTTGACGTGTGATCGGAGACACTCAAGCAGCGGCTGTGCCCGCTGCCCAGGGCATGGTATCTACGGTCTTGGGTGTATATTATGCGGCTTTTCCTCCGTCAGGGGTTCGCTTGAAGATAATACGACTGGAGAAGGCAATTTCTCTGTTACATCGGCCTGAGGCGTGACAAGTTGTTAGTTTTACTCCCATTAACCCGTACTTTCTCTTGAATAATCTCTCTGAAACCGTAGCCACCACTGTACCCAGTCTTACGTGTTTGAGTTCAGGGATATCAACGGCATTCAGTTGAACGTAGCCAAAATGCGAAAGATAAAGCACGATACGAGGCTCTACAATACAATAGTAGCTCCTAGAGGGACCGATCTGGCCCCTCATCTGCTCAGCGATACCTATGCTGCTGTAGAAAGGCACAGCGAGCACCTGCTCTACCGCAAGAAAGAGGTGTTAACACGTGAGTCCATCATCACGGGTCTTGCAGATTATATACCACGCATGACAATACCTTTTTACACTTGGGGTCGTGGCCAATCCCTCTACGAACCGTGTTTTGGACGCGGCGATACTAAATAAAGCAGGGTATCTTAGCCTGTTCCCTATTATTTAGTTTTACTTCAGAAGATGGAGGATCGACCTCTCTTGACGTGAGAGGCCCGCATGTATACTTCACATGTACTTGAGTATGCATACTTCAGAAGATGGAAGATCGCCACCTCTTGAAACTCTGTGTTGGGCGCGTGGAACAAATAGATGTATGCATAAAACGAAGTGTGCGGCACTTCGACGGCAAAATCAAAGCTCTTGATTTCAGCCGAACACGCGTCACGATACCTGTGCCCAGGGAACTCAGCAACAGCCTCCAAACTATGAAGTAGCCGGGTTTCGATGTTTGTATCTACATTTTACCATACACCAAATGACCCAACTTCGGAACACTCAGTGGATGCAGACACGATCATGATGCTAGTTTTCTTGCCGACAAGCGAACGACTCCCGGCTTGAAAAGCACATGCCACAATCGTATGTCATACCATTTAATGTTAACAACACCAAAACACATCAAAATAAAAACAGGATGCCACGCCAACCACCGCCACAACCACCAACACCAACAACAACTCAGAGTCAACATCACACCCAACCAAACCTCAAAAATGCGCGCCAAGCAAACCTCCACCGAACCACCCCAAAAATTGACGATACCTGCACCCTAGCCACACTACTGCCGTATGTGCCAGAATCGTTACTTGAAATACGAACGAATCGCATGTCTACCCCACCCTCGCTCTCCTTGTTTGCTTCTCCTCCTCGCAGCGGCAGAAAGTCACAACAACACTCTTGTACGCAGAGCTATTACTTCTCCCGCCGACGAAAGCCCGAACAGGCGGAAGCCGCAAGACACAAAGGGGCATGAGACTGCGGCAGATCACGCACGGCAATCGGGTGCAGGCCTCCCAACGGGAATAAGCGTACTTGTCCGCGACCTGACTGCCAGCTAGTGACGCCCCGGCACAACCACGAAAACACACACACACAAGCAAGCAAGCCCGGGGATGGTGGATCTATATTGGCGAACTCGGCGGAGAGTCTCCCTTCGAAGAACCGCTCTCGTCCTTCGCCCGAGAAGTCGGTAGTGTGAAGAAGCGAGTGGGGGGCGGGTTTGCCGCGGCGGATGACGAGGAGCGGTGCGTGGACTGGTCCTCGACTAGGTCCGAAGACTGGTGCTCGTGATACGGGGTTTGAAGGGTCCGGAGGTTCCAGTTCAGCTTGTCGCGGATGCTTTGGAACCAGTCCCCGTCGAGCTCTCGCTGGTTGACCTGGCCCACCCAAGGCCAGAAAGAATAACACACCGGTAACGAGGTCAGGGCAACAACGAGAGCACGGGGAGAGAGCTTTTCAGACTGCTGTGAAAAGTCTAGCCCTTTCCTTTGCTTGGCGCGCACGAAAGACGCCAAATCTCTTACAGGTCGGCCAAGGTATCTATCAAAACACCCCAAGTACAAGCAAGCCTTAAAAAACAATCAGATACGGCAATACGATGGAATATATACAGCAGTTTCTATCATACAGAACATTTTTAAGAAGTTCACCAGGGAATGACTCAAGCAGCAGTTCGTAAGCACGTCGAAGTGCACGTGCACTTCTGTCACGTGGCCTAGACTACATGCGGCAGGGTCATAAATTATTGTCGTATACCACCGAAGTTTCGAGCGAAAAACAACGGATTCCACATCAAAAAGAGACAATCGACATGTGCGAAGAAGAAAAATCGTGAACGCTACTAGATATTTCCACCAAACACGCCCGCAGTAATTTCCATCCACACTTATATTTCGAAGTGACATCAAAACCCTCTGCTCCTTTAGAATCTCCCTGACACCCACGTGGCAGTTCCGAGTGTCTTATGTTCGAAAACGCTCGAAAATACAACTGCCATTCGGATACAAATGCCACTATCGACTGGTCATTATATTTCCAAAAACAATGAATGGTTCCTCCGAATCGACCCCGGGTGGTGAGGCTGGCTACTACTTGCAACCAAACACAACAGCGGGACGCACCATGTCCTGAAGTACCGACACCGCCGGCGACAACCTTCATGCATGCACACAACCCCATAAACAATCGGTGCCGTTGCTGTGCTGCAAAGCCGAAGGGTACAGCACAGCACATGCATGCACGAGCTAAAATTGTGCCTTCGTACATCAGATAGAGGTGTGCACATGCATGCACTATGATTGTGCTTTCGCACACCAGCAGAGAGAGTGCTGAAGGTTGTCGCTCGAACTTACCGTGGGCAAAGGAATAGAAGCCGTGGATAGCTTAACGAAGGTTCCCTTCTTCATCACCACCGCTTCGGTCGCGTCGTGACACATCCACCCGTCTGCGCGGGCCGTATCCGGAATGCGCACCTGAACACCAAAAAAAATCAACAACAACGGCAACAACGACGACAACAGGAATAGAGACAGCGACAGCAAGAGAGAAACGGTACGGGCGGCAACGTTCCGCTTGAGCCAACCGCCTGTCACAACGGCACAGAAGACGGACCACGAGTGCCTCTTAGGAGGCAACCATCACCGGGTGGCCACAGCACCAGCACCCGAGTATCGACAGCGACAGATTGCTCTAGCAGGATAAAACTGCGGAAAAGGAGTGAGGGCCGGTAAACAGTAAACCCACATACATGGTTGATTGGCGACAACCGTTGTACCAGTCCACAAGGTCCTTGAACATAGGCAAAGATTTGCCCATCATGACACTGCTGTTTCACTTTTTTCGCGGGAAGAGGCTAATCCGAAACCTCTCATCGGCTATGATAAACCTGCTTGTCGAGTGGAACATGCTAGCGTGGCACCAACATGTCAGTCAGACAAGACAAGAACCCCCCCTCACCGTAGGAGAAACAAGTCATATACAATATACAACACGAAGGCGTCGCGAATTTTCGTACAACCCATTCTACAATGATCTCCGGAGATGACGTCAGGGCGGTGGAGGGCCATGGCGTCAGTTGTGCAACCTATTCTACAATGATCTCCGGAGATGACGTCAGGGCGGTGGAGGGCAATGGCGTCAGTTGTGCAACCCATTCTACAATGATCTCCGGATATGACGTCAGGGCGGTGGAGGGTGATGACGTCAGGCGCGCTTGTAGGCTCTTCCATGATTGCGTTCCCTTGGTCTTGGTCTTGCACCATGATCACACCGCTGATATGGGAAGCCGGAATCTCCGAAACCTTCGAATAAGATCGGCTCACCGTGATCTCCGAAGACGCCGAGGTCAGGATGGGGCGGAAGGACAAGGAGTGCGGCGCGATCGGCGTGATGAGCGTCGCCGGTACGAGCGGGGAGACCATACAACCCCCCACGGAAATGTTATACGCCGTCGAGCCCGAGGGAGATGCCACGATCAGACCGTCACCCTGGGCCGTCGTTACAAGCTCGCCGTCGACGAACACCTGAGGGAGCAGAGGGGGCATAGCAGTGGAGAGGGCCGGTGAGACCGCGTGGCACCCATAGAATGTATCATTCTCTAATAAATAGTGCCGGGTGCGCGGTATAGAGCCGGTTAATACAGCGGCACATACCGGCACTACGTGGGACTTTCGCTGCACGGGTGTGCTACCATATGGTGCCGTGGTATGACTCTTCAACAAAAAACAACAAGTGGCATAGTCATGGGAAGGTGGTGGATGTGATTGGTGGTGGTGTGGGTCAGGTGTTCGAGGTTCGTGGTGATGCTTGCCATGGGTACGCGGAGCGCGCGCGCGGGGGGGGGGTGATGCATTGGTGTTATTCCCTCGGAGTGCTGTCGTGTAGGATTTGTCTGTGACAGTGGTGGTGGCAATGCGATACTGTTTGCTCAAGGGAGGTCTAGATACCTAAGTTTGAAAGCAGCTTGTTACGAAAAAATTTATTGTCCTCGCCCTTGATGAGTAGGTACTGCATGGACGTCAAAGCGGCTCTAGCGTGACGACGACAGCAACAATGAAAACAACAACAGCTGGTGGTGGTATGTGGTTGTGTGGCGAAGGGCGTCGTGGCTTGGGATGGGGTCCTGTCCTCCTGCTGTACGGGTAACAAAAAGGCTAGCGATACTTTGGGACAAGTTCGTACGGAACAGAAAAAAGGTTCCTAACCTGTCTGGCCGTGCCAGTCGCTACAGTCAGGATAGAGTCGTGGGCTGCGGCAGAAGAACGTACACTGAACTCACTTCAAGCGTGCTAAGCACCCCAGAGATGCCTCTGTTGACGATAAACTCGTTGAGGGAGTAGAACACCCTCTCCAGCTGCCCTTCTCTGCTGTACACCTCTCCCCGCAGCCGTGTCCTCAGGGTGACGGAGATTGGCCGCCGGAACGCATCCAAAACCCTACATGTGACCGATCGATAGCTTCGTTTCAGTCACAATTACGGTCGATGTCTACGACATGTTCTTCCATTGGGCTGACACTGGCAAAACAACCTACGACAGCACTGCACCTAGGGCGTACCATGTCTGTTGCTGTCAAGCAACAAATTCGCGGTGCTTTTCTTCTTACTTTGATAAAATTTACACCCCGAGTCTCCGGTGAACTTCCAACGACACCCTGGACGGTTCCGTGTTGAAGAGACAGATAAACAAAGGGCCAAAACATATAAACACGTACTTGATACACAGTAGAAAGCGTGTTTTGGTCCTCTACAGGCTGACGCCATTCCCATCGGCCAGCCGGGTACACAGCGCGGTCGACGCTCAAATTAAAGAAACACACATCAATCGACACACAAAGATAGCCAGCCGCTGGTCGCACCTTTTGATCATGGATTGGCACTGCGACGGGTTGAAGGGGGCCAGAAACCCCAAAGATCCCAGACCGAAAGCGAGAGTCGGCGGAATAGGTGTCGAATCGTCGAAATATTGCGCCGCTTTCAAAACCGTGCCTGCCAGCCGGGAAACACACACAGACCCACACACACACATCCCACGTCATTGTCGTTGCGATCATCCCACGCATCTTTGCGTTGTCGTAAGGCGACAGCAGGGCGAGCGCATCCGAGGCTCGAACACGCAAACGGCAACGACCAAAATACAAGAGAGACTGAAAACAGAACGCGATCGAGACCCTACCAGTGGAGAGGCTGGGAAAGAATCGTTGTGAGAGGGAACACGTGGAACGAAAAATACTTCGAAATGGACCGCCTTCGCGACAAATTAAGGTCATGAGGAAATAGAGCAGGGAGGGGGTACGCAAACCCTACCCCTACCCTAACCAACTCCCCCGATCGCGCACGTTAACTTCATAAAAAAAAACTAGGAAGGCTACCGAACAAGATATTTATAGTGGCCGGCCTGATAGAGTCAATACAAGTCGGACACCGGCTCATCCGCATGGTGTAACGACGCCAGCATGAACGGAGACACCGCCAGAGGAAAGCTAAATTCGTTGGCGTCCGTGGCTTCTTTCTCCCCTTTGCCGCACATGCTGCTGCTGTCACCTGCTGCTTTCTTTCTCCTCCGTCCCTCTCTCTGTCTCTCTCTGCCCCCACCCCCCCCCTTCTCTCTCTCTCTCTGCCCCTCCCCTCTCACCATCCCCCCCGAGGCAGATGATGAAGTCCGTCTGCGTCGCCAGGTGTCCGGGGTCGAACCTCCCCACCTCCGGCATGAACACGGGACCTATCGCCTCCCCGTCGTCCCCCAGCTCGTTATCCTCGGTTGGGTCCACCAAGACCGTCAAACCTTGCGATTGCAGCCAGTGTACCAGCTTTTCTGAAGTTTCGCGGCGGTTCCGTTGCGCAAGAGACAAAAAGAAGGAAGGCACTTGATTCGCCGGAGAGCAGGGCATTCGAAACTACCGGCGGATTACGGGTGATTTCTCACTTGTCGTGCGGGGGAGGCGGGGGGGGGGGGGGGGGGGGGAAAATACGGGGTTTTTCGGGGTTGCGCCCCCTTGTTTTAAAAAGTCAAAACTTTAAACACTTTTTTTGGGCCGGGGAAGGAATTTTGGGGGGGAGCCCTTGCCGAAAAACT